CTGAACAGTCTCTGAGAACGCCCTGTCAATCTCCCGCTCATCCTCTCGGATGCTACGCAGGCTACTGACTTCCTCCTGTAACTCCTTTATCTGGTGATGCAACTGGTCAACCACAGCACCTCATGCAGGAGAGCTGACTGTCAGCCCAGGCCTCACGGAGAGGCCCCAGGCACTCCCTGCAGCCTGACCCCTGCAGAGCTGCATCTGCTATCAGAGGGTCTGTGTGGGTTGAAGCCTCAGACACAGCTGATGCAGCACCTCCCGCAGCCACTGGGGAATGTGCTCTTTGGTGTGTCATGACCATGCCCCGGGGAAGGACACACCACTGTGGAAAATGAAGGTGCCTTCTATGCCTTCTGGCACCCTTCTGCACAAATTGTTGCATCTGTTCGCTGCCTCTGTTTGCTGCGGTCCTTCTTCTGGGTGAGCCTGCGTGGCACAGGGCTCGTCGGCTCACTTGCTTCACTGGAAGCCATGCCCAGCTCCTCCTCAGCTTGGAGGACACTCAACCTGTTCATCAGCTGCAAGGCTTCAGGAGCAGCAAGAGCCTTTCTCCTCATACAAAGAAGCAACCAGTTGCCAGCCTTCATCTCCTACAGACATCGCACTTCCTGTGTCACATGCCACAGAGCCCACCTGCATCTCCACTGCAATGAAGGGTTGAGACTCCTGAAGCTGTAGGCTCTCGGAGAATATCCTACATCTACCAGGTGCTACACAGCATCTTCCCAGGTGCTACACAGCCTGCTTCCTTCCTCCCACAACTCCTTCACCTGGTGACACAACTCCTCCAAAACAGCACACCTTCAGCAAGCAGGAGGGACGACTGACACCCCCGGCTTCACGGAGAGGCCCCAAGCACTCCCTGCAACCTCAGACCTGCAGAGCTACACCTGCTGTCAGAAGGTCTGCCTGGGTGGAAGGCTCTGAAAAAACTGATGCAGCACCTCCAACACCTACCAGGGAATGCATTCTGCAGCCTGTCCAAACCATACCTGAGGAGGCATCCACTACAAAGACTGGAGACCAAGGGGCCTTCTTGCACCCTCCTGCACAAACTGCTGCCTCTGTCCACTGAGCTCGAGGAGCCGTGCTCTAGGCCTGCCTCTTGTAGAGGCCTCTGCCTGGCACTGACTCACAGGGTGCTTGACCCACCCTCATCAAGGGCTGGCTGGAACAAAGGCCCCAACTCCCTCGGATCTGGGGGCAACCAACAGACCTAGCTAGAGCTTCCCAGGAGAACTGAAGGCCTTCTGTAGTTGTCCTTGCCTAGCAAGCAGCCTTGAGTTCCTCAGAGGCTCCCCAGGAAGCCCCCACAACGGCCAACAAGGATCTCAGAACTTCTAAGCAGATCCCAGACACTGCTGTGCAAAGTGCTGTGGCTGCTCGCTGCCTCTGTTAGCTGTGCTCTGTGGGGGCAAGTGAAGGTAGTAGACCAAACCACAGTCCTTGTTCTCTGCAAACATCAGCTCCCCGTGCAAGTAGCTGTAAGTAGTCCAGAGGGCTGCAAAGGGGAAGTCTTGACCCAGGAGAGGACAAGAGGAGAGCACAGTCTTGCAAAGACAGCTTGGAGGTGGCTGCACCTCACACTTTGCCCTGACAGGGACCGTGTTTCCAGGGCCTTCCCTACAAGCCCGCCTCCAGCTGAGCACAAAGGAGCACTTGTGCAGAGAGGCACAGAGACTTGGTGGCCTTGCTTCCTGCAAGACATTTTGTGGGTGGTGGGACTCAGCGTGGGGGATGTGTGGAGAGGCAGGCTTATTGCTGGCTCCCTTGTGCCTTGAAGTTGTCATGAAGGCACTGCAGAAAGCTCCTGGCTTGCTTGTGCCCTGCTGTGTTGTCTGTGCAGCAGATAGCAGGGGGGTTCAAGTGCCCCAGGAGGAGCAGGGCCTGCGAACATGAGGAGGTCACCTGTAAGAGTGACCCACTTCAACGTCACCACCCTTGGCCCTCCTGCTACTGCTGTGCCAGCAGGGCAACTGGCCCTCCTCATCTTCCCAGCTGGGCCTTCCTAAAGAACCTTTACGCCCCCATTGCAGTGCTCCGGCCACGTATGCTGCTCTTCCAGCAGATGCCTGCAATGCCAATGAGACTGTGGCTGTGCAAGTGCACACACACTCCTAAGTCCTTCTGTTTGTGCCCCAGGCATTAGTGTACGGGCTGTACAGAGAGGCAGCGAGCGTGCTGATTTCCCCAAAGGGGTAGGAGAGGTGTCCACAGGATTCTGTGCCTTAGGTGCTTCCTTATTGGAGGGCATATGGTGGAGTGGGGCCTCTCCATCTCTACACTTCCTCCCTCCTTTGTGCATCATCCTCTCCCCTCCAGCACTCCTACTTTGGGCTCTCCTCACCCACCTGCTTGGCCAGCGGCTTGGCCATGAAGTTGGCACATGGGGACAGTCTCCTTCCTAATGAAGCCTAACAACCTGCAGCCTTGGTGCTTTGCTTCAGGCTCACCTTCACACCCTCCTCCAGCTGCTGTAACCCCAGGCCAGTGGGGGCAGCAGGCACTCCCCTCTTCTCTGCACCTCTGCCAACTCACAGGGCTCCTTTTGAGCCAGAAATCTCGCTCACCACACAACTGCAAGGACTCTCATGGGAAGAGAGCAGGACTGTAGGCTACAGAGCACAAATGGCCACAGCATGGTTTTATACCCCCTGCAACTCCATGTGACACCAGCCCCTAGCCTACCTACATAAAAAGAGAAGGAAAAAAAAAAAAGCTGAACTCTAATGCTGAGCTTGGGGAGATGGACTTGTTTCTCCCCATGCTCATTACTACCGGCCAACCCCCAGCCTTGAGGCAGCAGCCAAGAGCATGGCCGTAGCCTCTGGATGCTGCCCTTTCCCATGGTGCCCTGGGACAGTCAGAATGAAATGAAGCCCTGGGGTATTAAAGGGGAGCAGGGGGATTAATACCCTTAATTAATTGCAGTTTAGAGGCAAGCTGCCAAATAAAGGCTTTGGCAGAGACCATTTTATTTTCTCTTCCTCTGCTCTAGTTTCTGCTTTCTCTCATAAGAGGAAAGCAGACCATCTATGGCATTTATCGGGCTTCCCTAGTCTCTGCACCTTTTAAACACCTTTCCCTCCCCACACCCATGCACACAAAAGAGTTTCTTTGCATTGCTTCAGCACCATGTACAATTGAAAAAGCGTAAGTGGGGAAGCAAACAAAGAGATATAGGAATGAACAGCAGAGGGAAGACAAAAGAACATAGTATATGCAAGTGATTGCAAGCCACGTCCCACACACAGAAGACTCGTCCTTCCAAAACCTGAGGAGTGGAAATGACCTCAACAAGTGAACCACTTCTGGTTCTGCATGTTGCCAGGGACACATTGTTGTAATGATCACTTTGGAGATAACAAAACCTTCTGAGAGGCAGTCTAGCCTGGAGCAGAGAACTTCCAGGGCCAGGACAGAGCAAGATAGGCATCTCTGTCATGCTCCACTTCTTATCTCAGCCAGCCCTCACTTTCTGATTAATAAGTTTCTGGTTAAGCTTTAGAGGGTGTGAACTACGGGGAGAGCCAAACAGGAGAAGTCATCACTTGGGCACTTTCAGATCTAATCCACACACATGAGGGAAGGGATAGTCAAGAATCAAGTGCTATCAGGGTACATGAAAGCAATATGAGGTAGGGGATCCAGAATACAGAGTCATTGCATCCAGGACAGACCTTCCCTGCAACCCCCAACATGGACACCCCAGCCATCAACCTTCCCAAAGCCGTTCTCCAGCTCCACGCTCCTTCTCTGCAGGTTCCTGCTGACCAAGCGGTGATGGCCGGCTCTGCTTCCCCAGAACAGCCCCTTCTCACAATTCCCCATAGGGTTTCCCACCCTCCAGACCCGCATTTGTCCTCCTGAGCCTTGCTGCAGCAGCACAATCTCCTTCCCGGGGTGGGGCAAAGAGAGAGGTTTAGAGCTGGGCTTCATCACAGTCAGGCTGCAATCATAGTCAGGTGCAGCCCAGCAGGAAAGGGCTAAGGCACACCCAAGCATTGTGCAGGGACCAGCAAACAGCCCCAGACACTCTTAAAGTGGCCCTGGCGACCTCCAAAACACCTAGAGACAAGGAGGAAAGCCTGGGGGGCACCAAACAAGCCTTAGAGGCATGGAGGCAAGATCAGAGGCCCAGGAAGAAATAACTCCCTGCCGCACCCTTGGAGACTTCACCATGTTTCTGGGAACCCCCCCAAAGCCTCATGGATTTTGCAAAAAGTTCCAGCTCTTCCCTGGGCCCTTGGGAGCCCGGGCACCCCTGTGGCTGCTCTGGGATCTCCCCAGGGCCATCCTGTTGCCCCTAGGATGCTCCAAGGGTATTTTGAGATCTCTCTTGGGCTGCTGCAGTTATTTCTAGAGTTGTTCCAAGGTGTCTGGGTCAGCCTTGGGGTCTCTGCGGCTGTTGTCTCAGGAAAAGGGGAGAGAAACAGCACCAACACACAGACAAACGCTCGCTTACAAATGCAATGCTTGCGTGTTCACAGGCACACTGGCACACACACGCGTGTCGCTAAGCAACACACGTGCACAGAGGGATGCTCACCCCGGCTGGCCGCACACGGGCACGCACACCCTGGTGTGGACCAGTTAACCAGTGTGGCAGATGGCCTGCTGTCCAGCCATCCCACGATGGGTCGGGGCACTGACACATACTAATTTCTGAATTTCTGAAGTGGTAGTAGGGCATGGAGGAGGTTGTTTGTTCCATGTGATCCAATCCCACAGGGGAGGGTCGTACATTTGGGGCAAAAGGCAAAGGACACGTTGCGCTTCTTCTCTAAAATTCTGCAGCTCTTCCTCTTCCGCAGGTCAGGAAGCCTGGTATATGTGGCCTTTTCCTCTCTAGTTTTCACTAGTTGCAAGTACTGTGGACAGTTTTGTCATTTACTGGACCCCGCGAGGACTATGAGAGGTCCGCTTCAATAAAACCAGCACCAGTCTGAAATGCAGCCAGAGAGAATATTTATTCTGTGATATAGGAACCAAACTGCCTGGCGTTGGCTTGAAAGCGTAGGGCATCTTTTTGTGCAGTAGTGCATCTTTACGTGCACTAGGACGTTGTGCATAAAGGAAGCTCTGCATTCCCAGGCTCCTCTGGAAACCAGGCCAGTGTCAGCTCCCAGATATCACTGGCCGGTTTAGGAGGAAATCTTCCCTCCATAAGCAAGCAATTCTTTCAATCTAGCAACCATAGGAGATGTGGGAGTAGTGCTAGGGGAAGGAGACAGCTTCCCTCTGGGGAGCAAGCAGACCGTTCCATTGCCGAAGAGAACGCGAGGCAGCGCCACCACTCCCATCCCTGCTTCTGAACCTACAGAAACATTTACAAGGTGTCACCAGCATATTTCACTCTGACAGCACCGATGGCCTCAATACCCCTGTTGAGGCTGTAAGCAGAAGGGGTCCTCAGTGAGCTGAGGTTTGGGAGCATCAGCTTCCCTGAGAAAGGCTTGAAAGGAGCATTCAGAGAGCTGTGGTGGATCCACAGCTCCTTTGTGGTGCGGAAGGAGGACCTTGCAGGAGGGCTGCGCTGCAGCACCATGTCTTTAATAGTGCAGTAAGTGTAGCATGTCGCTACATCAGGGCACAACTCCACTTCCTTGATGGTACAGAAAGTGGGGCGCTGCGAGGCCCTGGAGAAGCTGCTGAGGTGTGTCATGGGACCTTCTGCTGGCTCCTTGCCCCCCAGCAGTGGGTACTGCATCTTTTGCACCTCCAGGGAAGACTTATGCCAGGAGGGCCACCCCACCAGACACAGCCACGCCAGCCAGCCTGCCAGAGGCAGCATGGAAAGGAGCAGCAGAGCCAGGCCGGCCAGGTAGAGCACCCAGTGCAGCAGGCAGCAGTGGCTCAACACCCACCGGCCCCACTGCGGGCCTTCGCCAATGACCCGTGGACGCAGCACGGGTACGGCTGGTGCTGGCATGGAGCAGGGGCACAGCGGGACCAAAGCAGGCTGGGGGAGGCGGGTGGTGCCCCGAAGGGGAGTGGAAAGCGCTGCCGTGGTGCTGGAGATCACCAGCGCAGTCAGTGGAGAAGATGAAGATCTGAGAGTAGTGGAGGCCTCTGATGTGGGAGAGGAAGGCACCACAGTGGAAGTGGTGAAAAACATGCTGATGGACACCATGGAAGGGGTACGAGTGCTGGCAGTGCTGGAGGAGTGGGTGGCTGGAGCAGGGGTGCTGGTGCCAGGAGCTCCAGTGCTCGTCAGAATGGCCGATGAGGGAGTAGACAGGAGGGTGGTGGAGCTCCCAGGGGTGCTGGAGGAGGTGGCAGTGCTGGGGGGCTGTAGGCTGGCGTGGGCAAGGGTGGTTGCGGCCGCTGGAGTGGTTGATGCAGGGGCAGCAGTGCTGGGAGCTCTGGGGATTGCAACCCAAGTACTTGGGATGGGGATGGAGCTACCAGTGCTGCTGAGGGGAGCCCTTGTGGTGGTGAGGGGAGGCTGGGTGAGAGCAAAGGTGGGGGTCGCCTGCTCTTCAGGGGTGGTTGAATGTGGGGGGAAGGAGGGCATGTTGGCAGTGTCCTCAGGGATTACCTCCCCATTGCCATATTCGTCCTCTTCTTCCTCGTCAGCATCCCCCACATTGCCACAGTTGGGCTTGAAGCGGATGACTGGCTTCTGCCGATGCTCGGCGGGGCTGTGGCACAGCACCTTCTCCGGGGCCACCTCAACCTTCGTCTTCTCCAGCCCGCGCTCAGGATGGTAGACACTCATCTCGTTCTGCCGGATCCAGGCGCGCAGGTAGAGCAGGCTGCAGTCACAGTGCCAGGGGTTCTCGGTCAGGAAAACATATGGATAGAAGTGTCCCTCAGGAAAGAAGCCCATGGGCAGGGTCTGGAGGCGGTTGCCTGAGAGCCACAAGGTCTCCAGCTGCCGCAGCTCCTGCAGCAGCTCCTGGGGCAGCTCCTCAAGGACGTTGTCAGAGAGGTCCAAGTCCTTGAGGGCCCCCAACCCTGCAAAGGCCTCCGGCGGGAGAGTCCGCAGCTGGTTGCCTCGCAGGTCCAGGTCCTGCAGGTGTGGCACAGCACGAAAAGCCCCTGGGGCCAGCGTCTCCAGGCGGTTGTGAGACAAGGCCAGGCGGGTGAGGGCAGGCAGGCTCTCCAGGGCAGGCAAGGCCGCCAGGGCATTGTGAGACAGGATCAGCTCTTTCAGGGACAGCAGTGTGGGCCCCGTGTGCAGAGCTACGAGCCCATTGTTGGACAAGTCGAGGTCCTGCAGCACGCCGAGGGGCAGGAAGGCGGCAGTGGAGACAGACACCAGGCGGTTGGCATTGAGCAGCAGGATGCCTGTGTCCTTGGGCAGGGCTGCGGGCACCACACTGAGACCCTGCCCTGTGCAGTTGACCTCAAGCAGGTCCTTGATACGGTTCTTCTCTGCCGGGCAGGGCTCGGCCCCAGCGAGGGGCAGCAGGGCCAGGAGGATAAGACGGACCAGGGCTGGGAGCTTCATGACCTGGGATGGAAAGACAAGATTGATTTGCACAGAGCAGCACCAAGGGATGAAGTGCCACCAAGGATGAAGCACCAGAGGTGGCATGATGCTCCTGCCCAGGCTGCCAGGAGTCATGACCACATCCCCCACCACCTCATCACCTCCACCAGCTTCACCCCAAGGAGAGGAACATGTCCCCCACGATCGCCCCTCACCCAGTGCGCACCCCCTCGTCTCCTTGCCTCCACCGGTGGCTCAGCCAGGAGGCACCGTCCCAGCTCTTTCGCTCTTCTGCTTCTTCATCAGAGGATGCGACGCAGCTCTGGGGGCAGCTGGCCCCCCCATATCAGTAGGCGCAGCCACTGGGCAGGAAGCTGCGGTTTCCTGTGAGGCCAAAGGGCCCTCTGCATGCCAGCTCCATAATTCGTTGCTGCAATGCAGTGGAGGAGTGAGGGGACCTGCCAGGAGCAGCCCTTGCATCAGCCCACCCTCCACCCCCACGGGATTTTTTTTTTTTTAATTCAAACATAACCAGGGGAGAAGGGTTGAAAATAGCCTAAAATATTTCATTCAATGCCAAGAAATGCATTCTATCTGGTCTTCTGCTTATGTCACCCTTTAATTTATTTTTTCCTAACGGAAGTCAGCTTCTCAGTTTGCTTCGAAACAAGCTTTCCTGAAGTTTATTTAATTCTCCATCCATTGGAAGGAAATGTGTTAATCCTTAAAGTTGCCCTCCCCTTAACATTTTTCAGCTAAAACCGTTTCCTGAATTTTGAGCTACATCTGTCATGGGTTGCTGACAACTAATTGAGCCATTTATGAATTCCCCAAAACTCCAGTTTCAGCAGCCTGAGTGTTTGGAGGAGCTAAACTTCAGAGCCTTTGTTCAGGCTGTGGCAAGTGGCAGGCAGTAGCAGAGGCAGAAGTCTTGGGGTCATTTTTAAAAATAAATATATTCATTTCTCTGTAATTCAATTATATAGAAATATATATATTTCATTTATATATAGATATTTCATTTTTATATATTTCATTTTTAAATATAAATGAATATATATACATAGCTATACAGCATTTTTATAGCTATTCATGTATATATATATGTATCTATATGAATATGCATACATTTAAATGCCTTATTTACAGAGCTGAAGGATTCTTGGCCAGTTTCTGGCAGGGCAATGTGTCCTCCTGCTGCTTCAAGCAGCTCTGACATATTTTGCTTTCCTTTTTTGAACAGCCTGGTGTCAGCATCCAGCTGCTGAAAGCTAGCCTGAAGAAAGAGTCTCTCTTGTTTAAGTGGTATTTGTGTGACTTTGTCATTTACAAGACAGAGCACAGTCACGCCAGTGCTTGCTCTGTGAATTAACCATTACTAATTAGAGAATAAAAACTGACACCAGCAGCTAAACAGTCCCATGCAGAGTATTTTCCAGTATCACATTTTTCCTTAGTGGTTAAACGGCCCCATCCCCAGGCTTTTCCTGTTTTGCTCTGGTATAACATTACTTTTAGCCATCAAAGATTGCAGGCTGTCTTACTTCCACCTTGCTACCGTGGCCTCTTTCCTCTCCTTTTCTGAACTGGTAAAACTACTTCCTCAGGTAGCTTTTTTTGTTGTTTTTTTGCTTTCCTCTCTAAACACATTGCAGCATATCGGTGTATCCCCAAACCCTTTCTCATAAATGTTTGTGCCACTTCTTCCCAAATACCCTGGAGGGGGACAATCCAGTAACTCAATAACTCATGCCCTGGCAGCCAGCTCCAGGGCTGGTGTAGACCATCAGCTGTATGGGGAAGGGATTGTCCTTCCCCTGCTGGCTTTGGATGCCAGTTGCCTCTCTTCCACACATCCTTCCACCTCCTTTGGCCTTGCGTGGGGCAGGACAGACAAACCGCCATCTCCCCTGGCAGCAAGAGCAAGCCCCATCCAGCTCCAAGGAGGAGTCTGAGACCTCTCCAAGGGGCAGTCCCTGGGCAACCTTGCCAAGACCATGGATCAGCCTGCAGCCCAACATGTCTTTGCCCGCAGAGCTTGCATGTGGGGCACTTTCACTGAAAACCTCTCTTGTTCAGATTTTGCTCCTCCAGAAGTGAGAGGACCCTTTTGGGTTGTGCAGGCCTCATGAGGTGCATGGGGAATGGTGGGGGAGAAGTGAGAACAAGGCACTGAGCAAACCGAGTAGGGACCAGATGGGTTGACCTCAACCAAGAAATGGCCCTGCCTGGATAGGGAGGTTGGATACCTCTTTCTTGACTTAGAGAGGCAGAAAGAGCAGCTGGGGTCAGTCCTCCCCTGGTATATTTGAGGTGTATTGTCCCTTCCACCACTACCTGGATGTGGGCAGGGAAGGGAAGTGGGGTCTGGAGGATCTGAATCCCCCATCTCAGCACTATCCTGCCTCCCAATTACTTTCCCCCATCCTTCTTTTGTTGGAGGGAGATTTCCCTCTCTCCTTCCCCAGGGCTGGCAGGGAGGGCTTTCCTACGAAGGGGCCATCAACTGTTGGGCTCTCTCCATTCCTGTGTCCCATCCTGATAGACAACATCTCACCAACAGTGGACATAACTCCGGGAAATAAGAAGGGCAACTGTGAGGTGATGGTGTCCAAGGAACATAGGAATATGCAGTTGCGTTACCCCTGGCTTGAGGAACACTACTCCTTCTCCAGCACAGAGTGGGGCTCACTTCACCTTCCCGCCAGCCTCTCCTTAGGGACACAACCCTGACAACGGGGGCCAAGCTTACACTGCCTGTCCCCATGCCCACAGGTCCATGACACTGTTCATGGGGGCTTTGGAGCCCTCGGTCACCAGGTTCTTCATAAGCCACTTCAGGCCTTACAACTGATTTGGTATCTGCTACATCATGTGGAGTTGTGCATGGTAAGGAATAAACACAAGATGCGAGCATCAAACTGTTTGGGAACATTACTCCTGGGTGCTGGTCAGACCCAGAGAGAAAGGCGAAAGGCCGGAAGACACCTCTGAGCTATTTTCTTTGGGCTCCTCCCCATGTATGAAAACATGTCTGGCCTCAGAGGAAGCATATATCACCTCCCCTTGCAAGTGGCAGTTTCCACTACAACAAAATCATCTGGAACTGTCAGAAAACATGCCTCAAGTTTAGATGCTCTGCTTCATAGGAATTTGGGGTTTCTTCAGCTTTATTTCAGCCCACATGGGACACTGAGCCTGCTGCAAGCTCCTCAGTGGTGTAGTCAAAAGCAGCTTTTCCTCCCTCAGGGTGAGGGACCAAAGGCGGGCTCCATCTCCAGAGCATTAGACATCTACAGTGCATGACTAAGCTAGTCATCTGGGCTTGTGCTGCAGACAGGGGCAAGGACAAGCCCATCCACGGGCCAATCCCACCACTGTGCCTTAGCTGCCTCCTTGGGAAATGAGATGAATGAGATGAGATGGTGGAGTTCAGGATCCTACGAGGAGGGAGCAGGGCAATGAGTAGGATTGCAACCCTGGACTTCAGGAGAGCTGACTTTGACCTCTTCAGGGACCTACTTAGGGGAATCTCATGGGACAGGGCCCTAGAAGGAAGAGGGGTCCAAGAAAGCTGGTTAATATGCAAGCGTCACTTCCTCCAGGCTCAAGAGCAGTGCATCCCTCTGAGGAAGAAGTCCAGCAAAGCGGGCAGGAGACCTGCATGGATGAGCAAGGAGCTCCTGGCCAAACTCCAGCAGAAGAAGGAAGTGTACAGAATGTGGAAAAGGGGACAGGCCACTTGGGAGGAATACAGGGACGTTGTCAGAGCGTGCAGGGATGCGACAAGGAAGGCTAAGGCCCAGTTGGAATTAAATCTGGCAAGGGATGTCAAGGACAACAAGAAGGGCTTCTTCAAATACATCAATAGCAAAAGGAAGACTAGGGAAAACGTGGGCCCGCTGCTGAAAGGGGCGGGTGCCCTGGTGACAAAGGATACAGAGAAGGCAGAGTTACTGAATGCCTTCTTTGCTTCCGTCTTCACTGCTAAGGCCAGTCCTGAGGAATTCCAGACCTTGGAGACAAGAGAGGAAGGCTGGAGAAAGGAAGACTCTCCCTTGGTGGAGGAGGATCAGGTTAGAGATCTTTTGCCCAAACTTGACATCCA